GGGGGGGGGGGGATAGTGCTTAACAACACATTCTTAACACTTTTGAAAATATTAAGTTAACCTGTTAATTCTGAACTCTTTGATTTTGAGTATTGAAATACTCTTTAGGGTAATGATTAGATAGCTAATGGACGGTGGTGAGATAAGCTAAACAACTTATTTCACAGGTAGCCAAATTATCATCTTCCTCATTGCTGCCTTCCTTCTTAGTATTCTTGCCATTCTTCCCTCCCTTGCCTGGGGTGACTGCACTCCTCTTACCAGGAGTTGTTACTAATGCTTTGCCTGGTTGGGCCCCCTTCTTGCCAGGTGTTGTTACTGATTGATGTAACTGTCTTCTTGGCGTGTATGGTTGCTGTCTCCTTGCCAGGAGTGACAATTGCTTTCTTGGTCCGTGTGGTAACCACATGCATATTTGTTACAGGATTCTTCTCTGTTGGAGTTTTGGTGAATTTGCCTTTTTTTCTGAGGGGTGATAACCAAATTTCCATGGCTATCATCTTTGTCTGCCAGCAAGTCTTCATTTTCACTATCTTCTACCTCTTTGGGGAGGAGTTAATTTTCTTGGGGTTACCTGAAATTTTTTTTCCAGACTTTGCAAGCTTCATGATGATGGTTGCTTCTAAAGGGAAGGTGTATATCAAATAAGAAGCAACAGTGAGCTCAGAGGAGCCCAATAGTCCCTGGTACTGAAGACCATGGAGAATGTTCCTCTGCCAGCTAGAGCTCTAAACTATGTTGGAAGTCTCTCAAAATATAAAATAACTGGGATAGTTTTGCTATTTAAAATGTCCATGGTTTTATCCTACAGTGGCTACAAAAAAAGTGCAAGTATGGTTGCTTCTCAACTAGCATTGAGGTGATATATGAAGGAAAATTTGTATTTTTAAAAGCTGCCATTTAGAAACAAAAACAGGTAAGCAGAACATATAGGGTAAACTGAATAGTTATACAGAGCACACTCCTAGGAAAAGGAGAAACAGGTGGTATGTATTTGAAAAGGGGTATTCAGGTACAGGATTTGTTTCCAGTTTTCACCTGCAGATCTCCATTCATATCTATTAGTTGAAATAATAACTATCGAGCATGTGTTATGTTCAATTTTTGAACTGCAGTGAATGATATAAATGTAAGCTTCCATTCTTTTCTTGTAGGAGCTTATTCTTGAATGGCAAGAATAGAATTAATATACAAATGACATATTATTAAAAGCAACAAAGAATGGGCATTAAAAAGGAGAAATATTTTTGGAATGATCAAGGAAGGATTTGTATAAAAGTGGATTTGAAGGACATATATAATTCCAAAAGTAGAGATGACTTGCTGATGTTAAGTATTCAGATTATAGGGACAGCTTTAGTGAACATTAATGATTGTTTGTAATCTTTAAATTCTCCTGCTTTCATTCAACCTATTCTTACTAGAAACTGCTGCATGCCAGGAACTTCAATAATGCTATCTTATGCTCTAATTACCTCATAGGAGGGAAGAATAAGCAGTAGGTATAAATTTAGGCTATGCTTCCATTGGTTAAGAACAGTAAATTAGAACCTCAGACAAAAATTGAAAGTAACTACAATTTAGCTCATCCACTTACCACTTAATATCAATTACTATTTGCTGAATTAAACATAGGACTTATCTCTAAGGATGCAACAAATACTTATTTATATCCTCAGATATGATGTACTTTGCTCATTATCAGAGATAGGAAGGGATTAATAGCACACATAGCTTAAGTAAAAGAAATATGGATTTCTTTATTCCTGTTATATCCTAATCCTATAAATGCATACATGTACAGAGTAGCACCATTATAATTATAGACACTTTTATTCTACTTTAACATTAAAGAGACAGAATTACCAAATCAATACTAAGATTCCTTGAGACATATGGTTCATTATATAATCTTATATAACTATATTTCCTTGTATATATTTCATGATTCAAAAATATTTAACTAACTTGAGAACATTTTAGAATCTAAAAAAATCTAACAAATATCAGATAACTTTTTTTTAGAAAAGTTCAATAATTCATGATATAACTATGTGAATTGGATATAATATTTTCTTGCATAGTAAGACAGAAAAAGTTTTAGTAAGACAATTCATGTTTGCAATGTGCCATGGAGCTTGAGAGTTGTAGGAACCTATACAGATGCTTTTGAACCATATACACTTTAGAGATTGAAAGGAATGTGTATGAGAGCTACCAAATGTGATTTCTTCATGTGGATTAGAACAGGTGCAGATCAGCTCTTTCACACTTTTTCAATATGTCAATTGTATACAAATCTTCCCAACTGTATGCTAGACAACAGCACGCTAGCAGGTTGCAATCAGTCATAGAAATATTTGCAACATGAAAACTGGCAAATACTATAGCTCATGGGTTCTCACCCACCTCTGCCATATCCTCCCCTCCAAGTGTTGTTTGTTAAAGATTTACCTGCACAATACAGCTTAAAGGTGCATACTCTCGTTATGATAAAGAAATCTTTTAAATCCAATAGCTTTGATTAAATAAGTGTTTTAAACCACTGATATCTTTAGTAACAGATTGTAAAATAATAATGACACAATTTGATGACAAAATTAGTACTCTTTTCCCCTATCTTCTATAGCACTGTCCTTAACAAATGGTGCGACTTTTATAAAAAGGTACCGATTTAAAAGCAAGCTATAAGCTAAATTTCTTATTCCAAAATTTTCTGCATCATTGTCAGTAGTATACAGTTTTCACTAAATTTCATGCCCAAAATAAAAAAAATAAAGAATTTTTCTGAGAACTTTAAGTCTGATTATTTTTAGAAATCAGAATAGCCATGGTAGCTATCAGAATAGCTATAAGAGAGGTTTAATTTGTAAAAATATAATCTGAATGACTTTTAGCAATTATTTTATTTAGAAGACCTATCAACCCATTGTTTTTGCTGAAAGAAGCTATATACAATTATTAATTATAATTATTACTATATAACATGAGTTCTATCATTGTCACTTCTTACTTAGCCAGACATACACGGCTAGTATATCATGGAACTTTTCCACTGACGTCAAGAAAATCTTAGAATTTCTACCAACTCAGTTCTTCAGTAATCCATTACTAGTTGATAAGAAATTTATTTGTCCAAATTAAATTTAAAAATATTACAGTGAAAAAACAATCTGTGTAGATGTTATATAGACAGATAAATTATGGTTAAAAAGTATAGGAAATAATTTAAAACACAAGTTTTATTTTCCTGTTCTATTACATTTATTTTCCTTATAAATTATATTTGGCCATGTTATATCTTTTCTTGAAATTATTTTGTAAGTTACACAGTGATAACTATGAAAACATTTGGATTTTTATCAAAAGTGATACAAAAATTTCCCTTTCACTGTTTCAGTCCTCTTACCTGTTCCTTTAATCAAGAGATGCACATCTTTTTAGAGCTTCCAAAACACAGTAAAACAAACCAAGCAAAAGTTTATGCCCTATATTGTGATAATAATTCAAGTAAGTATTTTAAGAGAAGTAATTCCTGATGTCTTTTCTAAATAAAAAAACATATCCTTAATGGCAAATTTACTAATTCACTAAAATGAAAATTTAAAGACAACAGGCATTTCTGAAATCTCTTCAAAATATAAGTGAAGTTTTCTTTTATGTAGTCTCCTCTCAGTTCCTCATTGTACTGATTTTATAGCTATAACCTTGTGTTCTACGCTTCTAAGTAAATCAACCAGAGCAATAAAAATCACATCGTCGTAGGAATGAGTGAAGTGAACGCACAGCTAATATCCTGCCTTAAGCAAAATGAGGTAAGCTTGGAGCATGTGCAAAGGAGACAACTTATCTATACCCATGTGGGATGTGGTAAATGATGGGCTTTATCTACAAAAAACATTTCAGAAAGAAATTAACCATCAGGTGTGGGTGGGCAATTAACTCCAGACTGTGGAAGCCAGCTCTTTCCTGCAGAATATTCATTAACTCCTTTAATTAAAAAGTATTCATAGTTGTGTAATTTAGAGTGCTTTTCATATACTTCAAAAGGTTCTTGACAGTCAGTGAGTAACTCGTAATTTTTTAAAAGAAGGTATTTTCTGATATCAATTAACTATTGAAAAGCAAATTTACCTCACCACTTTCTCAAGAAAATGAGGTAAGAAATATTTATGAAAAATTACAATACTATCTTTGGAAAACATTCATATTATTGAGCATTTCATTTGTTTGTCCATTGGTTCATTCATTCATATATTCATTCAAGCAATCAATAGAGACATATGAACTGACCTAAAAAAATGTGAGGGAAGTGGCCTCTGCTCTCTACAGGCTCACACCCAAATCAGGAGACCAGTTACAGTAATTTGAAGTATTGTGAAGGCTAGAAAAATTATGCAGAGTGAGTGTATCAATTTATACTAGCAACAGTGCACAAGGTTTCCCTTTTCACCATATCAACTCCAGCATTTGTTGTCATTTTTCTTTTTTCATTTATACAGGTATGTGATACTTCTCTCTGATTTAATTTGCAATTCCCTAATGATGTTGAACATATTTTTATGTATTTGTTGGCCATTTTAATATCTTTTTTTAGAAAAATGTTTATTCAGTCATTTACCCATTTTTTAATTATTTGTTTATTGGAATTTGCTATCAAGTTATATGTGTTCTTTATATATTTTAGATATTAGCCCATTACAGATAATCTGGTTTGCACATATTTTTTTTTTCCCCATTCCACAGGTTGTTTTTTCACTTGGTTGATAGTTTCTCTTGCTGGGCAGTAGCTTTCTAGTTTGATGTAGTCCCCCACTTGTTTATTTTTTATGTTTTGCTTGTGCTAGAGCATCACAGCTAATAAAATCCACATCAATCCACATTAATTCTTGTGTTTTCTTCCAGGAGTTTCATAGTTTCAGGTTATACATTAAGTCTTTAGTATGCTTTGAGTTAATGTTTCTGACTGATATAAAACAGGGCATGGATTTTATTTTTTTACATGTAAATATTCAATTGTCCCAGCACCAGTTATAAAATGTACTGTGTTTTTTGCCACTGGTTATTCCTGGCTTCCCTGTCAAATGTTAATAGACCACATATGCTTGGGTTTATTTCTGGGATATCAATTCTGTTCCATGGATCTATTCTGCTATTTTTATGCCAATTGCATACTGTTTGATATTTATAGCTTTAAATATAGCCTGAAATCATAGTGTGCTATATTATCTTTTGTTCTTTTTTAGTACTTCTTTGGCTTTCTGGAATCTCTTGTGACTCCATGTAAATTTTAGAAAGTGCAAAGGAAGCTTAGGGACTACCTGGTGTGTTAGACATAATAATGACCTCTCAGTGATACCCACATCACAATTTCAAAGGCCTCTATATAGTTGCTTTACCTAGAGGGACTTTATGGACTTGATTAAATTAAGAACCTTAAAATGGGGTGATTATCCTAGATTAGGTGAGGTGAAAGCAGGGAGTGCAATATAATTAAAAGACCCAATGTAATTGTGTAAGGATAAGGATTTCTATGGAATTTGTGAGTAGAATCAAAGTTAGAAAAGGAGTTGTCGTAACAGAATAATAGGTTAGAGAGAGTTGAAAATGCCATACTACTATGTTAAAGATAGAGGAAGAGACCATGTATATATTATTATAAGTCATTAAGTTAATGACAATTTATTATAACAGGAATAGGAACACTGTTGTTTGTTTCATAAGTGGAGAGTGGAAATGAGGGTGGACAGCTTGCTCTAGATTTCAGGATCCATGGTGGCAAAATCATGCCTACGTATTTCATCCTTAAATATGCAACCCCTCTCAATGTTCTCAGGGATTAATAGATGTTCAGTCAATGCAAAAAAAAAATCTGTCACGTGAACAAAGGTATTAATGAATAAATGCAGAGGTTAAAGGAAAAGTGGAATGTGTGAGCTGATACCTAGAGGATGATTAGAAGTGATGCAGGTGGAGAAGCAGAGAAAGAGCAAAAATAATAATGCTAAGAGAGACCTTAACAGAGTGCCTCTTTGTAGTAACTAAAGTACCTAAAAGACCTTCTATCAAACATGGTAGTGGAAATGTTCTCTATAGTTGAGCACTTTTTGTTTTCATTTAGAGAACTATGACTTCCACCTTATAACTTGCATAGTTTGTTTCATATAGTTTGATTATTTAACCATGTACTCAACTACAAATCTTTCCTTTTGGAAAGAATGCTGGAGAGAAGGATATTTTTCATTTTCTTTCCTTTTTCTACTCCTTTGCTCAGCTAATATCTCCCTTTGATACAGTCAGCTCTAAATCTATATGGTGGTTCCAAAAACATACTGAATGTTTCTTGGATGATTTCCAAGTATCTTAGACCTCCAAATAAACTTATCTTCTCTTTTCTCTTCTCTTCTGGTGCCCTGTTATCCTGGTTTGAGAGTTTCAAAGATTCAGTATTGTTATTTGCATTACTTTCTCCTTTCCTCTGACACCCAAGAGTGCCAGCTCTGCTCACTGCATGCTGAAATCTTTTCAATCTCATAGCAGGAAAAAAAAAATGACAAGCAACCTAATTCATTTTGACCATCAATAAGGACAGTATCAAAGTCAGAGAAATGAAAATGTAACTGAATTACAGGTTTTAGTAAAAAAAATTGTGATGAATATAAGCAGTGAACATCATCTTGGCACTGAAAGCAAAAGAAGTCCTGAATAAGAGGGAGAGAAGGTTGGAGCCAAGGTACTGGGAGTGTCAGAGAGTGGAGAGCAGAGTGAGGGTGGGAAAAATATTCTGACCAATTCCGTCAACACTGTGTGCCAGAGTTCTTAGAATGGCACAGCAATGCTGATGTTATCCGTAAGGTTGTAGGCTATGCAAAGTGAGTGTGGTCTAATGATCAGCAAGAGAGTGAAAGGCTAAGAATTCACCATTAAATAAGTACTGTACTCAAATTTAATTAACAATCCATGAGAGCACAATGTCAGAAAAGGTCACAGAAGCTGACATCTGAGTTTTGTCTGCATTGATGTGAGTCAATGGAATTCATTCATATGTTAACATAATATTAATTTTATTCTGCTATATTTATATGTTATAAATATAATGATGTTTATTCTCCATTTCAGGTGCCTCACCTAACTTCTACTCTGACTTATTTTCTAATGTGCTACGTGGTGCATTTAGGTAAATAAAAACTCTTAATAATCATCTAGTCAAATTTAATGATATAACTGTATGCTTAATACTTTAAAATTCTTGTATATATTCCTAAACTTATATATTTTTTACCACCTTTAGGACTTTCATATACATGCTATCAAGGGTGTGTTGTGAGGCATGGGTCTAATTTCATTCTCTATGGAAACATCATCATCACATCATCGCATTTTAACAAGGTTGTTCTTTCTTCCCTGCTCAGTAGTACCAATTTAATTATAAATAAACACCAGTATATATAAGAAGGTTACTTTTTCAATCTAGACTCTCTCTACTCTGTCCTTTAGATCTGGTCACTTATCTCTAAACCAACACTGCACTGCTTTGATTATTAAAATTTTATAATATCTCTTGATAACTAAGAAAACATGATTTCCTCTTTGTTCATATATTTTAAGAAGATCTTGTCTATTCTTGGTCATTCAAATTCCTACAAAAATTTAGAATGAATGTGTCAATTGTCATAGAATGTCCTATTGGAATTTTATTGGGATTATATTTATAACTACAAAATAAGTTCAAGAATAGGCAACTTTTCAATATTGAATATTGTAATCAATGGGCATTATATTTCCATTTATTTAATATTTCAGTTATTTTTAACTGCTCATAATAAAGTTTCAACTCATCTTATGTAGAGAAATACATAATTTACTATATTTCATTTATAAGACAGAGCAAGAGGATTACGAGGAAAATGAAGAAGTAAAAAGGAGCATAAGAGACAGGAGAGTGAGAAGAGGAAAAGAGAAGTGAGAGAAGGGATGAGAAGGATAGAGCAGAGAAAGAGGAGAGTCAAGGAGGACAGAGTGGGAAGTGTGAGGAGGAGAAAGTAGAGAATGAGAGAGAGAGAGGAACAGAGAAGGCAGGGAGAAGATTTCCTTCTTCTGTCTATTTAAAGTCAGAACACTTAGCTGTGTTTTACTTATTATTATTATTTTAACTCACCATTGCAGTTGCCATTGGATAGAGAATTGAGCAAGGTGTTTTGTTCACACTGAAATGAAAAGAGATATATAGACTTATGTTACTAAAATTTATTTCTACCCTTGAAGAAAGTATATAATTTTTATCTCCATAAATAACAGAAACTAGTATCCAGTAACTACTTTCACTAGCTTTTTTAATGGAAAAGAAAGTATAATAAGCCATACTAATCAAATGATAATTAGTTTAATTACATATTAGCATTGTAGATACTTTATGTTATCATGTCAGATTATCTTTTTTGTTCATTTTCGGCAAGACTAAGTTTGTTTTGATTTTTTATCAGGAGTTATATATTTGCATATGCTTTTCATTTATTATATCCAATTAGAAATTAACCTCATTAGCACCACATTCTCTGAGAAACACTAAGCATTTGTTTCATATTTTACAAAAGTTAACTATTCATCTATGGCTCCCTGAAAAAAAAAATCACGATTTATGGAAATGCTGGAGAATAAAAATTATTCTGCACCTTATAATTAAATGTATTTGAAATTGAAAATAATTGATGCCTCAAATGAGATAACATGCTATCTACTTCTGAAATAATGTTATATTTCATATTGTTGAAGATGCCAAATATTTTTTGAATACTTACTATATATCTTATATGGACTTTATGATAGTTATTTAATCTTCAAAACAAGTTTACAATGGAAAGGTGAAATAAATTAACCAAAGTTAATTTAAATTGACCAAAGTTAAATTAAACCAAAGAAGCTCCTATGAACCTGAACTAAGCAAAAGTTCATGTCTTTCCATTTCATGCCTCATGCTAAACACTGTATTATATTACTTCTTCCATGACATCAGTTTTCGTCTTAAAGGCCTACTAGAGAACATTTCTTTTTTTTTTTTTTAAGATTTATTTATTCATGCACACAAGAACTGCGGTACAGACCAGAGATGCAGGGGGAGTGAGAGGATTCACTGTAGATAGAGTGGGGAGCAGAACAGGCATATCTACTGAAATGCACTGCTGAGGGGAGCAGTAGGTGAGACAGGAGAGGTCTGCTGCGCTACTTCAATCCATTGTGCCATCACGGAGGACCCCATTTAATATTTTGATGCTTAGTGGTGCAACTTTTATATTTTAAATCTAACTGACAGCCACCAAATGTACAATTTCCACCAGGATATTTACATTTCAAAGTCTCAACTTCCATTTTATTGAAAATAAAACGGAATTTTATAATGTAAATGCCATTTACATCATGGGGCTGGTAATAAGTTATGTAGCTATGAAAGATATTCAGTAAATGTGTTTCCTTTCACTTTTCTTAAAAATACCATGCCTGGGCCCTCCCTGATGGCGCAGCGGGTTAAAGCACAGCACTGAGAATCTAAAGCCGCTTCCGCATGAGTTTGATCCCCGCCTGCCCCGGAGGTGACCACATGGTGGCAGACCTCTCCTGACCCGCCCGCTGCTCCCCTCAGCAGTGTACTTCGCTGATCTCCCTGTTCTGTTCCCCACTCTGTCTCTGGTGAAGCCTCTCACTGCCCCTGAGCCTCTGGCCTGTACCCCAGTTCTGTATGCACAAATAAATAAATCTTAAAAAAAAAAATACCATGCCTGAAATCTTTGCAAACATTTTCAAAGAATTTATGTAGACCCTCCATCCTCAAGAAGGTGGACCATCACGCATACTCCTTGAACTTGGATTACACTTAGTGACTTGCTTCCAAAAAGGACTGTATTGAAATTGGGGGAAACAGTATGACTCTACAGTGGAGAAATCTGATAAATATTACTTCATCCAGGTGACCCAGGTCAATATATATTCCTTTTAATCATCTCACTCAACAAGGAGAAAATGAAACACAAATAGATCCAATTACTCAATTAAGATCCCAAAACTCAGGAGAAACCTGAGTTTTGTAGCATAGCTCCAAAGTTTAATTTCTTAACATTGTGGAGGGGTTAAGGATGAAACATATTACAAATTGCTCAGTTACATCAAATCATCACAATTACATTTGATTCATATCTTGTTTAATTAAGATACTATGTGGAAATTAAAAAAGCTGGCATTTTATAATAAAGTTATAATGCTGTTGAACTCAGGGGTAGGATGGCATCAAACGGTCCCTGCTTCACTTCCAGGAGAATAACTTAAATAAATCCAGATAGACACTGGACTCAGGATTCTGTGAGACCACCTGCTGGATAGCAGACTGACTCTCTAAACCTAGCCACAAAAATCATGTAAAAAGTATATACAATATAAGGTTTTCATGAGGGAAGAGGTCTCTAAATATGTCTGTATTCACAGATAGGTTTTTTTTTTAAAGTATTGTGATATAAGATTATCCATACCATGATATCTTTTTTGATGTTTTTTGTTTGCTTTTTTTTCTTATTCTATACATATTTTACATCGTTGTTCCTGTTTTTTTTTTTTTTGTTTTTTTTTTTGTTTTTTTTTTACAATGTCTACTTCCTTTTCTCAGGTGTAGTCCTCGTAGATTTCCACCACCAGTTTACCCGTGCACCATCGCCATAGTCCCTTATGCAATATTTGCCCTCATTTTTACCTCTTTCCCTCCTCCCCTACAGAATGGCTCTGATTTACAGTTGTCTTTTTATTGTTTTGTTTTTTTTTAAATTTTGTTGTGTTTTTATTGTTTTTACCCCTTGTTCCCTCATTTGGTTACCCATATTCCTCCTATAAATGAAACCATCGATATGTTTCTTTTTCCTTCTGACTTATTTCACTGAGCAGGACCCCTTCTAGATCCATCCATGTTGCTGCCAGTGGCATTATTTTATCTTTTTGGATTGCTGAATAGTTAGTATTCTATTGTATACTAGATATACATATAATATATACTATTGTATATATACCACATCTTCTCGATCCAGTCATCTATTTATGGGCTTTGAGTTGTTTCCATGTCTCACCTATTACAATTCATGCAATATGATATCTTAATCATGAAACAGTTAATTATACCTTGCTTGTATCATCAAGGTGCTGATTGTTGGCATTTTCCTTTTGGATAATGTTCATTAGATCAATATGAAACTTCTTTGCATTCAGGAAAACAAGTGGGTTGTTTATTGAGATAATTTTCACCTTCTGCAGTGTTTCCTTTGAGGAGGAGAAAAATGAATAGATTCAGAGTTCTGATTCAAAGAAAGAGGATAACGCTATACAAAGGGTCTAAATCTTACAAGTCCCATGTCAGTCAGTTTTGGAAGCAACCTAGAGCTAACATTTTCATTACTGTAACGTATCTGGAGAACTTAATAAGCTATCACACCTTCTAGGCAAAAAGTGTACCCTCTTTACTAAGAAACATTAATATCCATAAGATGAGTCTACAGCACTTCAAATAATGGTGGTTATTCCCATTCACTGGGTTTGGTGAAGGCAATAGACTATAATAGCCAAAGAGTAGCAGGAAGAACTATCCTCTAAAACTACCTGTTTGAGTTTTGAAATTTAAAGTAAATACTTAAAATTCAATATTTCACAAAACAGAAAAATGTGACATAAAAGGTCAGTAACTGTCAGGTATTAACCATTTTTATTATGACTGGAATATAGTCTTTTTTTATCATTGAAAAAACATCACAGTACTATATTGTGTAAGGTTCATTTCTGAATACAGGAAAGTAGAACTTAAGTATTGAATACAGTTGAATTGCCAAAAAACAGAAAAGGCAAGAATGTTAATGCAAGCTGTTTCTTAATAAGGTGTACACTGTGCAAGAAACTCATCCTAGTGACATTTAATAACCATTGGACTTAATTACCTTTTGTAACAGTACAGTCTCATTATCTATGATGAGGGGGAAAAGGCAATACTCCCTTCCATATTCGTATCTTCTCCCCTCATCAAATAAATTCAGAACAGACTCTCACTTTAGCTTGACATTTTATGGAACTAAGTAATGGAAAGGAGGTTTCCAAATGCCTGAACTAAACTGGACCATGATTCTACTGTTAACTGTAGTTCTATGGACCATGCTCTCATTTTATATGAATGCTATTAAAATATTTACATTGCTCTCTTGATTTGTTGCTTGTCTATCGCCCTATGTATGTATAGTGGCTACTTTCATATATGAAGTTCCCACAAATTAAAAATAGAATCACCATGTTTTTAAATGTCACAGATTATCTGCTTAGATAATCTGATCTTAATAGACAACTTAAAACTCTTTGGCCCAAAAAAGTTGTTAATATTTACACAAAGGAAAAGGAAACTAACTTACATCATCTGTTTCTGTCTTCATTTTAAATTCCATTTCTTTCATGTCCCTTATAATGAGAGTCTTTGATCTAGAATGAAGGCAAATAAAATATAAAATAGCATTTCCTAATCACTGTATGAACAAGGAAGAAACACAATGGATATGTCATTTTATATTACTCATTAGAACTTAACTAGTTAGATCCTATATCCCATCTGCTTATAAAACACTGGTACATCTATCTTCTCTGGATACTCAGGAAGAAAAATAATAAAAGAGGGGCATCTAAGTAGATATTAACAAATGTAATTTATTTCATCTGAGCTCCCAGAGTCCCATATCGCCAAACATTTAAATAAGACTTTACCTTGGAAAGCGACCGATCACAATGGCAATGGTACCCATCACTCCAAACAGCAGCCCCACGTTGGCAGCAAAGCATATTGTAAACACATAAGTACTGACCCAGATGCCCTGAAAGAGAAACAGGAAACGTGAGATGGACCCACTGGTAGTTCCGGCCCCCTAATAACTGGCAAATTCCTAACAATCCTATCCACAATCTGCTGTGGCCAAATCTTTCAGCAAGAATATATTATTAAGATGTGCCAAACAGAAGCCCAGGAACACAGAAAAAATCCTAGCCCACCGTCAAGGAAAAGGCACCTTATTTTTATTTTTTGATACTGCTAACCCTAACTCAATTTCCAACACTTTATGATTGTAAATGATTGGTCAGTGTATGGTTCAAAAGCATGTCACAATCTCCCAGTTTTCTCATTTTATGTAATAATATTGCAAGCAAATGTTGTAGATTTTTGGTTATTCCCAACAATATGCTATCTTATAGAATTGCTCAAAAAATTGCTCATATAGTTTATTATTACTTTTAAAATAACTATTGCTAAAATAACTGAAACTACCATGACCAATGACACTTTAGATCAACAACTATGAAGATCATTATCATTATATTTGTATGGGGCCCAAGTCTAGAGAACTTGTGAAAACTAAACGTCAGAGCAAACTTAGTTCTTGGTAATATTTCAAAAGATTATATGAAAATTCTATTTTTTAATTGGAATTACAATGTTATTGCAGCCATATTCCCACCTGAATTCCAATTTGTAACAAGATATTGTATTATAGTTGGCATTTCTAAGTTTATTGTTGAAAAAAAATATTAAAAGAAAATAATTTGTGAAGTCCAGTCTATATTTTCTAACCAGAAAATTCTGCATTCACCAAATAGTAGACCAACAATATTTTCAAACTCTTTTACCCCACTGTTACTCACTTCCCCTGTACATGCAATTCTAAATTCCTTTCTGGTTTGAAAGCTATATTATTGATTTACATGTTAAACAACATAATTAAATTCCATACAGAAATAAGAGTTAGAAATTTCTTTAAAAGCCTGAAAATAAAGCCTGGATTCTTTGGGGGAACTGTAAAGTATTGTTGTTTTGTTTTCAGAACAAGCCTGAGACATTTCTAAGGGAACTTTCTATTTAAAATACTTTCTTCTGTATTATTTATCAACTCTTAGCTTGAGTGATTCTTAATAATAGGCTACTTTGAAAAGCCAAGTCCTTGGAAGCCAATCAAGGCATTTTTATCTGTAATATTTTTATATAGAAGAAATAAATATTCCAGTATAGAAATGTATTTTAAATATTATAACAAAATCCAATGTAATGCTAATTTTATACTTATGATTACATAATTCTTACATTCTCATTTCCAGGTTAAATACTGAAATTTTTTACCCTAATCAGATGAATAGTCACTCACTTGAATCTTTTATTTGTACACAGTGTGTTTTTTTCTTCCTAGTATTCTACTTAATCATATAAAAATAAGGCTACAGTTTATGATCATTACTTTAACTTGCCATGGACTACTCTGATTCTTCCTCATCTCCTAATATTGACTGAACCTGCCTGGAATGGCAGAGTAAGACCTCACCAAAAGCTCTGTAAGTAAAATTCCTTCTGGTCAACCTCCATGGTTCAATATTGCATAGGGAATTGAGGAACCTAGTCCCTGCAATTTAAAAAAAAAAACCACAGAGCCTGGAGGCCATGATTCATCAGAACAACCAAAATTTTAGTGCCATCTGGTTCTATTTTTAAAGCCTATTTATGCTCCCACAGCATCATCTATTGTAAGCCTGGATTACAATGCTGAGTTATTTCCTGGGGCTACACTTACAGCTTTGAAAAGATATCAAATGGAAATTAATAACATAGATCAGTAAATAGTTCCATTGGTTACAATAAATCCCCAAACTATTCTGCAACAATTCCTCTTAAAGATTCAAATGCTGGTTGTCAGAATTACAAGGAATTAGTTATCTCTATTTTTTCATTATATATATATATATGTATATATATATATATATATATATATATATGTATACACATATTTTTATTACCTCCATATTTGGCACATATTTTTATTACCTTCATATTCTCCACCCCCACATACAAGCTGACCCCAAAGTTGAATTCAAGTAGGAAATACATATATTTATACATATACATCTATGTGCACATGTAAACACACACATATTTATAGAAAATGCATTCCTGTAAAACATAATTCAGTAGTGACTCAGTCACCTCTCTCTCTGTGACCTGTTTTCTGTCTATTTTGGTAACTGATCCATATTATCAAATTTCTGTAATTCTCAATTCTATATTCAGTGACTCAAACTCAGATCTGATTCCCTAAGTACCTCTAGTTTGGATCCCTGTTTTCTCATTTCTTATAAAAGGGTTGTGACCTACAACTAAAAATAGAATCATTATTAAATGGTAAAAGAATCCTGAAAGAAATAAAAGTCTAATTTTTCATGTGATAGTATCTTCCATGATTTTTTAACTTTCAATCTTCAAATTATTTCATATACGCTTACCTTTGGTAACTTTGCTTTCATAATCCCTTAAGAACATTTTATCTATTGTGTAATATAGGCATAATTTGTCTTTTGGTTTATGTAGCCTATATCCCCCAAAAACTTGTGCAATATTCTCTCCAAATGCTATGACCATATAATATACCAATAATCCAAGGCTTTCCACTATTGAATCTCTTCACAGTTAAGAAATATCTGTAAAGTTCAACCACAGGAAATTATTGCTAATCTAAACCCAATGTCCTACTGAATCATGTACTGGCTATAACCATATCACATTTCTCATCCTTATTCTTTGACCACATCACATTGCCTTACTTACACCAAATTCTCAAATCACCTCTAAATAGGAGACTAGCAAGTCTATTAAGCCATTTTTCAAACTATGAAATACCTTCAAACTCAACATGTTCAAAAGCTAAATCTACTTTCTCTAAATTTCTCCTTCAGTTATAACACACATATTTTTCAAGACACTATCATCTGAAAACTCATGAACATATGCTACTGTTTCTCCTTTTTCATGTATCCAGTGATTTTTCAAGTCCTGTCAATTATTAATTAAAAATATTTTCAGGTCCTCCTTGATGACCTATGGAGTAAGTCTCAGCACTGATCCCTACTAGGGAAGTGACCCACATGGCACAGCAGGCCTCTCCTGTCTTGTCTGCTGTTCCCCTCAGCAGCATATTTCAGTCTGTCTGCCTGTTTTGCTCCCCACTGTCTCTGGTGAATCGCTCTCCTGCACACACACACACACACACCATAACTCTAGCCTATACCCCAGTTCCTTTACACGAAAATTAAAAAAAAAAAAAATTCAAATCAAAGGCTTTTCTCAATTCACTAATAGTGTCCTCATTCATATTTTCCTGTTTTTTTGCTAGACTATTCTGATACTCTCTTAACTATATGCTTTACAACACTGCAAATAATTTCTCACACTGCTGCCAGAAATACATTTCTCAGTATAGATTTTGATATAATCTTTAAACAGCATATTAAAAAGATATCTTTTACTCTATCCGCCATTGAAATCTATCAAAAACAATATAAACAATGAACATACGAAAAGTAAAATCCAGTACAACGACTGAAGAATATAGCCACAACTTCTAACTACAAAATATGGTGTTGACTAATACTTTGAAATATGGAAATAATCTAGGACAATGGAAGCCAATTAATTTACCCTGAAAGTTCAATGAACTGTAGGCGTGTCCATTAATGTTGCAGTCATAAAAATGTCATACAATATTCTGTTAAAAGCCTTATTTTGGGCCCTCCCTGGTGGCACAGTGGGTTAAAGCACAGCACTAAGAAGCTAAAGCCACTTCAGCACGAGTTTGATCCCTGGCCCCAGAGGTGATCCACAGGTGCAGCAGACCTCTCCTGACCCGCCCGCTGCTCCCCTCAGCAGTGTACTTGTCAGTCAACCTGTTTTGCTCCCAATGTCTCTGATGAATCCTCTCACGGTCCCTGCACCTCTGGCTTGTACCCCAGTTCTATATGCATAAATAAATAAGTCTTTTAAAAAAAAAGCCTTATATTCTAGGGGCAAATGTGGGCCACAAGAAAAAAAAGAAATATAATCACATAGCATATAGTTGATACAATCTAAGTAAGAGTGGGAAGGTAAGATGGCAAGATTCTACTTACCCAGTCAATTTTATCCACATTCCAATATTTTTTTAAATCCCGAAATTGTATTAACATCCCCTTCAATCCCACAACAATGATACTTGCAAGAACACACTACAAATGAGAAATAAGTTAATAAAGAATTGATATAAAGATTTTAACCTAAATTTTAAAGATATCACTTTTCTTTGTTTTTTAAGTTACTTACTAGATAAAAGCAATTATCATTTAGAAAACTAAAATAATATTCATATTTTTAAGCACTAATTTATTACTGAACTGGAGTAATATAATGTAATATCAATTCTAGAAAATAGCAGGTTATAACTTAATGCCATCTAATTATAAGAGTAAATATTAAAGACTGATCATCCTTTTAATAACTATGTAATATAATTATTCACTGCCATTTGTTTGAGAGTTATTTGTGCAAAAGTATTAAATGTTTAGGTCATGTATTTCTTTATAATAGCTTTGAGTACCAATTATCTGGCTCCATCTCAAGCTATTTATAACTCTCTTGAAAAGTAGACTTGGTTACTGGAAGATCATCCTATAGAAAGGATTTATTCTTATTGCCTGAGTGGAGAAATAAAACAAGAAAGGACTCAGATATCTCCCTGAAGTTCAGATGCTAACATTGTCTCAGGCTTATGAAGAGTAAGATAAATCACTGGTACTCATATTCTTAGACACAGTTAGGTAAGGTGGTGCCAAGGGTCCCATGTCTGGCACACATTTCCTGATGGTCCAAATTCTGATAACATTCTTCCTGTGTCTATTTGGTAGAACTGCCTCATTCAGCTCTCCAGATGAGCACAGAATCAATGTATTTCCACAATGTCAGTTCTATACAATACCTTCACAATAGCAAACATCCATGATGTCTTCCATTTCTCTTCTACCCAACATAGTCTGTTTCCAACTCATTTCTACTCAACCATTATTTTCACCCCACACTTTTCAAATTTAGGATCATGGAGGATACATTTCAAAGACATTTTAATACATGATGATTCTCATTAAAAATAAAGCTAGAAAGCAGATAATGAAAAGCACTACTGTACCATGGGCAGCCAGTAAAGCAAAGGTCCTATTGCATAGATGACAATCAGGACAAAAATGCAAGATATCAGACAAGCCACCTGCAAAATATAAGAAAAACATAAAAGATAACTTTGGGTTTTATAATTACCCCAAAGTTATGGGGGGAAAGATCATTCTCACTTCATCTTGATTAGAAGAAACAAAATGTGGGCACATGAGTGTTAAAATGGTCTATATATTGTCACTAAAGGAACCCAAATGTGACAAACAGGTGCCATCAAATTAAGTCAGAGATGAGAGAAAAGCAATTCCACACAGTGAAATCAGACACCACCAGCTTTTACCACACATCACAACAATGGCCTTTTTTGTTTGTTTGTTTCTTAGGGAAAGTGACATTTCAATTAAAAGGCCTTTACCCTGTTGTGTTCAGCCTGATTTGACTCCTTAAGTTCTGGGTATTTATTTGGATAATGGCAGAATACGAAGCTTGAGATTTTCTGTATTGATGATAAATTTCCACTGAAGCTTTTACTCTCTTCTTTGGAGTTCTTTGTTAGTAAAACTTTTAGTATGAAGCAGTTATATGGGATTATGAGAGCAATCTCTTGCTGTGAAACAAGCCTCACTTTATTAATCCTGAAAAGTCATTAGTATCATGTTCTGATTTACTCAACTGCTGACAAAAGGCAATTCAACACACCTGACCTCTAGCCATGCTGCATTTGATGGGGAACTGATTTCACCTAAGAAAATACTCATGTCTTAATAAAAACATTTAACCAAAATGTCAACCTAGTTAAAAATAAAACGAAGACTTTCACAGTATCACAAATATACCTACAGTCATTATGGAGATCTCAAAGTTTATCAGGACCTATTAAAACTACTAAGAGTTAATATATACAAAGATAAAATCGCTATTTAATAACAGGAACTGGCGAGGACACCAAAACTGAATTCTCAGACACTGCTGGTAGGCATGCAACATGGTGCTATCAACTTGGAAAATGGTTTGGCAGTTTCTAAGGAAGTTATGCACCTACTAACCATCTAACCCAGAACCCCTAAGAGAAATGAAAATGTATGCTGATGCAATACCTGTATGGAAATTTTTATAGCAGTTTTATTCATAAACAGCTAAAACTGTTAAATACATGTTCAACAACTGGTAAATAGAGAAACAAATTGTGGCATACATACAATAGACTACTACTCAGTAATGAAAAAGAATAGACTGGTGATGCACAGAACAACACAGATAACACAGTCTTTAAGCTGAGTGGAAGAAACTAGACACAAATTCCCTCCATATTTAATGGAACTCACCTCCAGAACTCCAAGCCTTCATAAAGAGGAATCAAATTCTTCTGTGGAAAATAAGTCTTTGGGGACATAAGCTTTCTCCATTAAAAAGTTATAGTATGCCAAATAATTGTTTACAGATTATTTAGAGCAACTGATAATTTCACATGACAAGAATTTTTAAACAAAAAAACCTGTTTCCTCTCATTCCATTGGACTGAAGAGAGCTTGGTGTGAACGAGTAAATTCAAATAACCCAGTAAATCTATGCTTGTATGGAAAGAAAGGGATATCAGTTACTAAAATTTATTTCACAATAGAAGACAAAAGCATTCATCCCTTCTGCAGGACTTTTCTTCATGCACTTACAATGTGCATTTTTTGTTTCAGAAATGAACTATAGACAGCTGGACTCTAAACTTTCTGGAATGATCTGAGGCATTGAAAGTTACAGTGACTTTCCCAAGGTGATAGAATTAGGGAGTTAGAAGGGCTCCATAGAGCCAAATATATTTTAATGCTTCTAGATATTGTAAATACAATAAAGCTTTCATTTGGATCTTTAACTTAACTAAATTAATAATTCTATTGTTATTGTTATCTCCAAGTTAAAAGGCTTTACATCTTGCAGTAGGTTGACTTACTGGGTATAAATCGAATCCCCAAAGGAGTCAGAGCTATTTAAGGGATTGTTCCATAAGATCTTGTCACATAGTGCATTGGTTCCACAAACAGCCTATTTAGAACAAAGCTTTTAAGATGTGGTTTGCCAGCTCCCTCATCAAGCCATGGTAGTTATCATGCATACCTACATCAACGTAGTAGATGCAATGTTAAAGGTCTAAAATGACTGCTGTGGGAATGCCTCCTCAACTGGACAAGGATATTAAATCAGAGTATTTCTCTGTACCATGGAATGGAAATAGTTAGATGACTAGTGACCATCTCTATAAGAACAGAACAGGACAGAAACGCTCTGCTGCTTAGCTTTATTTTCCTTAACTAGAGTTCTGTTAAATATCTTTTGAAGTCTGATGAATAGAATGTCATGCAGAAAATACATTCAATAAAAAGTACTTAAAAAGTTATGTGACCTCCAGAACAGAAAAGAGGTATTTCCCCAGTCCAAATGACAAATAAACCTGAATTTTAAAATAACTACAAATGTTCTCAAAGGTTCTTTCTTGTAAACATTCATTGTTGAAAGTTACAATAATTAATCAGATAGTTTTATTCTTATTAAAATAGTAGTTAGAAAAGCAGGTAAGTACCTAAGGAAATTCCAGCGACAATCCAAACAGTCAATACGAAAAAGTCATACAAATTCTATTCCAACCTTTCCTGTCCATACTGGAATTTTATAGATTGAAATTTTCCGAGTAAGGGACAATATATTTGAGTACAGTTCATGTTAAACATTCAAGTTCAGTTCACAAATACTTGAGCGTATGGTTACCCAAGATGTAATTGCCAATATAGATGATGAATTTACACTTGAAATCACTGAGTGTAAAAATCAAATTGTTATGTACAAAAAAACCAAAATGGAATGAAGATTTCACATCTTAGTTAATGATCTGTAACAATTATTCATCAAACTATTATGCATTCAGAATTTGTTTCTTGTCCTCTGCTCCATTCTATGTTCATCAACAATTATGTTCATTGGCTTAATATTATATATGAATGTTCATTTACCCATCTTTCTCTTGATACATGTTCCCAAAATCATGAACTATTCCCTAATCAAATTTCTCTACAAATGCCTCCAAAAGGTATTAATAAAAGGTATGCTACCAATAAATTTTATACATAAAATGTTTTATAAAATCTCACTGATTCTAATTTTAAACAAATGTGATTTTTTAAAATAATGGTTAGCTATAAATGTTAATTTCTTATGTTAAAATATACATGAACTTTCTCATGGGGAACACTGGTTAGGAGTGTGGGATTCGATATAAATCTACTGGATTCAATCCCTACTTTCACCACTCCACCACAACATGGATAAATTAATTTAATCTTCTTTTCCTCACTTTTTAAAAAAGACTTATTTGTTTATGCATACAGAACTGGGGTACAAGCCAGAGATGCAGCAGCAGTGAGAGGATTCACCAGATACAAAGTGGGCGGCAGAATAGGCAGATTGGCAAAGTACATTGCTGAGGGGAGCAGTGGATAAGTCAGGAGAGGTCTGCTGCACCATGTGGGTCACCTCCAGGGCTGGGAATTGAACTTGCACTGAAGCGACTGGCTACCTTCATAAGTGCTGCATCCTAACTCTTTGTGCCACCAGGGAAGGACCTCCTCACGTTTTCATATGGAAACTGGGGATGAAAATTATATCTCCTTCACAGAGTTATCTAAAGGGTCAAATGAGTTCATTTATATAAAAAGTATGACTCAATATTTGCTTCCACTAGCAAATTTGCTCTCACACCACCACCATCGTAACAGTAATATCATTATATCGCCAGGGCCATGTCACAAATATCCTATATAAAACCTAGTATATAGCACATTCTCAGTGAAAGTTGAATTGACTTCAGTTTTTAAATATATGTATATATATATATATTCATATTAATTTCTTCTTTCAACTAGAATGTACACAGACATTTTATATATTTACACACTTGTACCTATATATAGACATTAAATATACTATCAAAGGATTATTCTACATACAGTCCTTTTTAAATTGTTTAATGAAAGTGAACAAAAAGGGAAATTTCAAATTGGTAAAATTAACCAAAAAAATAAATTAGAGGCACCACTAGAGGGAGCTTTAATTCAAAGTTTACCAACAGTAAAGCTGCCATTAGGATGGACTTTTCTAGTCTGCACATTCAATAGTTCAAATTCTGGAAGTGTCATCCATTTATAAGAAAGAAGAGAGATAGCCTCCCTTAAAACCAGTTACAAAGAAATTACAGAAGCAAAGATACTTTCATTCCTCCCTCTCTCAGAGAGAGTCCATTGGCCCCTGTTGAACAGTGAATTTACCTGAGTCTTTGCTCCGGTGCTGTAGAGACCTGCAGTCCTTCCCAGGGCAGCAGCATTTGGTATACAGAAGAAAAATGAAGGGATCACGTTGCTGAGACCATGGGCCAAAAATTCCTATTAATAAGGAAATATATCACTTGTAATTCATAACCACCCCTTAGAGACAACAGGTACTACTTATCAAGGAACAAAGTTCTTTTGTATTCAATTTCTCTTCTCCAACTATTTGTGATAAGAACATAACAGAAATAGAAAATGATTATTCTCAATGAACCAGAAACTGTACCAATGACTATACTCATTTAATTTTCTTAACCGTATAAGAAAGTACACACCTTGGGCCTCCCTGGTGACGCGCTGCTCCCCTCAGCAGTGTACTTTGTCAGTATGCCTGTCCTGCTCCCCACTCAGTCCCTGGTGAATCCTCTCACCCTCCGAAACTCTGGCCTGTACCCCAGTTCTGTATGCATAAATAAACAAATCTTTTTTTTTTTTTAAAGGAGGTACACATTTTTAACTCTGTTTCCAATCTCTCTTTAGGATTCCTACAAACAAGACTTTGTTCCCATCATAGCAACGGCATTCTAAGCTAAATCCAGTGGTTAATTCTTAACTGGCCTTAAAATGGTTTTTGACAGAGTTCAGTGGCTCACTTCTTCTTCCTGAAAGACTTTTAGTTTATTGCTATACCTTGGTTTATTGTTAGCTCTTGGTTTCCTCCTAGCTCGCTGATCAGCTTTGTGGTTCTTCTGTATTTCCTTTGTGCTGTGGCTCCTCTCAACTAACAAATTATAATTATTGGACTACTCTTTTTTGTCTCCATCTTAGCTACCCAGATACATACTGACAACTCCCAAGCACCAGACTGCACCACTCTCCTGACTTCAGGGTCTTAGAGCCAATCTCCTACATAACATCTCCATTTGAATGGACACATGGACTATTACTATCGCTCCCAACCTGGTTTGCCAACATTCTTCCCCATCTTAAATTCTAATTAATTGCTCCAAAAGCTTTAGAGTTATTCTTTTTTTTTTAAAGATGTATTTTTTCATATAAAATTAGGATACAGGCTTGAGGTACAGGGGCTGTGAGAGGATTCACCAAAGGCAAAGTTGGGAGAAGAACAAGCAGACTGATGAAGTTTACTGCTGAGGGAAGAAGCGGGGGAGATGGGAGAGGTCTGCTGCGCCATGTGGGTCACCTCCCTGGCGGGAGATCAAACTCATGCTGAAGAGCCTGCATTTAGCTTCACAGTACTGTGCTTCAACCCGTGTGTCACCAGGGAGGGCCCAGATTTCTTCTTGATCCTTACATTTCTGAGACAGCACCCACATCCAATCCAGAATTTGTCTACTTCTCATCTCCTACCTAGCTACACCCTGAGATGTGTGATCAAAATCTCACCTACATTATTGTAAAAGCCTCCTGATGTTTCCTGCTTCTATTATTATCAGTAACAACAAACAAATACCTCTGTCCTCATAGTTGATGTTCTAATTAGGCAAGGCTGACTGACAATAAACAAGATAGTATGGAAAGTAAAGCAGAGGAAGCTGTGGAAAAATCTGGAGTTTGGGAGTTTAGGTACCAAGGACCTCCCTGGAAAGGGTATATGTGAACAATAGAGTCCTGCTGATATCTGAGGGAAAAGGGTCCTGGAAACAGGAACAAGTGCAAATGTCCTGAGTCAATAGCAAGTGCAGGGCTTGAGGAAAAGGTATGAAAACAGAGATAAAAAAGGTTGGTGAATATAAAAGGGAGATAAAAACAGAGATGAAAAAAGGATGGGGTCAGTTCAAAATAGCCTTTCTTGTAAGCTTTGTTAAAGAGACTTTTCATCTGAGCATGATGAGGAACCACTGAGGGTCTTGAGATGAGGAAAGATGGTCTGTGCTGTGTGCCATTGAATTCCTTGTATCTAGACCAGTGCCGGGTACATAGGAGAATTTATTATACATTATCAAATGAGCAAATCTCCTTTGATACACATGACAAATCTAAGGCACAGAAATGACTATATTAACTAAATTCCTGTGGTATCAGTGTGAGATTTGACACAGGTAACTTCACGCTTCTAACGGCTATCTCATAGCTCTTTGCAGACCTGTGCAGAAACAGGGCCACAAGGCTTGAAAGAAGATACTGGCAGAAGTATTGATGGACTCAGAAATAGGATCATCAAATCCTTACCTTTGGATAGTCTATGAATAGACCCTCACATCCTTTCGTTTTGTTTGTTTGTTTACTAAGAGGAGCAAATAAAAGTAGTCTCTAACGTTGAAATCCATAATTTTTAAGTGTCAGCATGCACTGATAAATACACTTGGGTTCTCTCCTAAAACCAACTCAAAAAGAAGGTCGAGAGATCCCCTCTTTTTTTTTTTAAGTGTATTATAAACAACCCACAAAGGCCAGATATTCAGATTTTTATGAATGATTGAGAGATATGTCTCAAGTTCAATTCTACCCATCCTTGCCATACACTTAAGACAGTGGTATTTGTCATGAACTCGGTATTTTCGGATCTGAGAGCACACAGTACAGTGATACAATAGCTGTGGGAAGGGCAAACATGCATACTCCACCTGGTTGTCATCAACCGAATATTTGAATTTTTTGGCAGATCCTTGAGCTAGAGCCAGTGAGGCCACATAGCCTACAAGTGCCACCCCAAAAGCTTCAGTGATGACTGCAGAGAGGACGTTCATAGGAGGGGCTCGAGGGGGAGGAATTCTGCGGGAAGTAAGAGCATATTGAAGTCATCAACCTTCATGTAATTTCTGTAACAACTTGCAACAAATTCAACTGCGGTAATGACTCTGAAGTTTACATAGAGTATGCGGAAGACCCATGAGAAAACCAAGCAGCCTTGCCCTTAGAAACCCTTTGTTTTCAACATTTTTTAGCAGAAAAGAAAAACTGCAAGGCACCCCACAGGGACAGCTCCATGTGTCTAACTGGCATTTATGCCCAAGGGAACTCAGGTTACACCGCAGAAACTCTGACTCGACAAAAATTTCCTAGATCTGAACAAAAGCAAATCTGCAGCGTTCTTTCATTCGAACCTTTCCAAACATTTATTTATTTGGCTGGCGTTAGAGACTGTATCCTGCTTTGAATATTACAGGCTATTGTACAGTATGGTTTTTGAGTTAATCCTTAAATTTGCCATTGAGTTCATTATCTTAACTGTGTCTTTAACTCAGCCTCTCACAGTAGACCGCTAACATCACAAAGTTCAAGAAAAATATGCATAAAGGCTCCATCTATCCTCTGTTGAGAAATATAGGATAACAGGTAGTTGTTGCCAATTTCAAAAACAATTTCAAATATTTTTTCAGCTAGTATTTAGTCATTGTCTGTCTTATTGTCTGAAAACCACTTGAACTGGGTATCTTCAGTATCTTCATTTATTTATCTGTTGTGTTACCTTGGAAGGCCTACCTCCCTCCAAAAAAAATAAAATCTCCCTGATACAAAAGTAGAAGAAAAACAAATTTCATGTTAATTTATTACCATAAGTAAAATATCATCCTTTTTCATGTTTGCTACTTTATTTAAATCACCCCGCAACCTCCAGGTTAAGTGCCACTGTATGCACTCTGAGGAGGAGAAAGCATTTTAAGATGTAGATGATGAATATGTAGTCACGAAAGATAGGGTTTAATCTATTTTCAGAGGCATGATCTTTTTGTGAATCCTTAGAAATCTTAAGGATGGATCTAGAAATGTCACTCAAAGGAGAATAAGAGAGGATAAAGAGGAATGAGTTTAGCCCTCCAAAAACTTCATTTCTTCACTACAGGCCCTGAAATATATTACTATCCAAAAACGCTACCATTTCAAAGTACCATAAGAACTTTTTTGTTTCAAGAAAATTGAACTTGCTTCATTAGTATTAATAATAAACTGACCTAGAAAGGCATAGTAAGTTGACTTGTAGAATTGAAAAATAGAGAAGCCTTTAGAATAGCAAGTCAGAATTTCACCTCCAGTTCTTATCTTGCATAGGCTAAAAACAGAATTTTTAAAAATTATCTTTTTAATTTTTATAGTGTTCATCCAATTTAATGTGGTCAGAAATCAAAAGGCAGTACTGGGAGATAAAAATATAGAGGGCACGACGTTTTCCCAAATTTAAAATATTAGTGTATATATACATCCCACTTAACAGAATAACTCCTGAGCTACCCTCTGATACTCTCTTCCCAAAGATGCCTTTGTTTTCTTTCAAACTATATTTTGACCAACTTTATCTTGTTAATCTTCCTCTCAGTGTTCAGAGGAAAGTTTTGAACCAGATAGGGAACCATGTTCTCTTCTCCACATATACCCTCTCTCTCTAAAATTTCTGTACTACCTAGTCAATGGATTTACTATTTCAAAATATTCATGTGTATTTTTCACTAACTTTTCAGTGAAATAAGAATAATGATGTGTGAGGATATAGAGACAATATAAATTCCAGATTTGGATTTGTATGTTCAAGGCCCCCATTTTTTCCCCAGATTCTAACTTTGTGAATCATTTCAAATCTTAAACCTATGCTGTGTAAAATAGTATAAACTTCCCTACTAATAGGTTAATATTTTCTACCATTTTAAATATAAATTAATGAGAATTTTGTCCAGTAGAGTGTTTTTGACAGAAATGAAATCCATATCCACCTACACTTAATCTTTTCTTCCATCAAAAACAAAAAACAAAGAAAAATAAAGGCTACATTACCCTTTTGGAATATGACCAACTACTTCTAATCCATATGTGTTTTCCATATTAGTACAATAACAAGCAAATGATGCAGCAATAATCTGTGTGGTTCCATTTGAAAAAAAAGAAAAGAAAAAGAAAATTATTACTGGCCTCTCAATCACCTTAAGACTTTTCAAAAAGTAAACATTGTTCTTGTGTCCCATGGTTATCAGGAGTAACATAGTAGTTAACAGACTTAAAAATTAAGACATTTTAAGTCAAAATCTCCCTCTGAGATCTGAGGGAGTTTAATTTGCAGTCTTCAAAATTAAATAGTCTCTCAATGTTATGGTTACTCTATTATCCTAACCTACATCTATCCAATTATGTCTGATTTTGAAGGGCAACAGAACACAGAATAAAGGAGTCACTGTGTACATGTATGAATGAGTGTGTGTGTGTGTGTGTGTGTGTGCAGGTACCATATTTCATCCTCAACACATCTTTTTTGACACCAAGGGATGCCTTCTAACAGCACATTTTCCCTCCATTTCAAAAATTTGAGATCTTGCCTCAAGGTCTCTAATACAGGTTAATAAGTAGTGATGACTTACAGTCTCTTCAATTAACTTCGGATTTTGAGTTTTGTTATTTCTTGAAGTTAAATATGCTGGTAAATAACATGTTAGGCACAATGCTTTGAATTACTCCTATGGAGTTTCAGGCGCCTGATACTATGCTAAGATACCTGATATAAAAGTGTGATATGTAATGATACCTGGAATAAAATGTGGTATGTAGTAAACATACATGTTCTCTGCCTATCTCCAAAGTCACCTTTAAAATGTATGTTTTGCCTGCTCTGCTACTCTAGTTTTTCCCAACTAATTTCACATTCTCTCTTCAGACTTCTGATAATTTTATTAACTCCTGGAAACTTCATATGGTTTTCACATCATGTTGGTATCAGTTTGAAATTATGTATGTGCTACACAATTTTGGTTTAAAAAAATACTAATTATGTATTCAAAGTATAAATTTACTATATTCATGACCAGGAAGAAGGTATAGTAAAATCATACTAACAACATAAGGAATATCTAATAATGTCCAGTGATATTATTTTATAGGTATTTTATCCTGAGTATATTTCTGTTCTCTATAATAATATTTAACTGACCGAGGTTTTAAAATATCAAATATACTGTAAAAGCAAAACAGCATAGAAGATTTAAAAAACAACAAAATGAAAAATTTTTAAATATGATAGTTATTTTCTACATAATATAGTAGTAGTTAAGGATTCACACTATTAGGTTAGAATCAGAAATATCAACATATTCAAAAAATCCTAAGCAATTATATTTCCATAAAATACTTATATCAGGTTTCAAAATATTGTCAAGTTGTTGCACTAGGTTTACTATAGGTGTTCCTTAACTTCTTTTCATTTGCATAAAGTTTTCGGTATTAACAGATCAAAGATAGCATTGCTACCTTTTATGATTCATCATTTTCTATGTATATTCTCGTTAATTTGTGTCAGTTGTAAAAGAAAATATAAAGAAGCCACAAGATACTGGGTCCATATTGGTCCATAGTCAGATGCGTTACCCACTGTGCCACTGGCTCACACCTTGGGTCCTTATTGAAAATGAAAGTGCACATGATGCTCCAGACACACAGCCATGAGCAAAAGTCATCCACCTTTGTGCTACAGAAATGAATGACTGACATGCCTCTGAAACCATTTTCAGTGTGCTGGTCTTATATGTCTACATACACCTACACTATTTCAACAGTAAGAAAGTCTATGGCAATAAATGAAATTATGTCGGCACCACTTCTCTCATGCATGTGTAATGCAAAGAACATCAAAAAACTAAAGTCACTTAATGGTAAATTAGTGAACTGTGGTTATGTTAACATTTTATTTTCAACTTAATTTTTATTTAGCTAAAAGTTCCTTGTAGATGACTCTGAAATTTCCACAACATATTTAAATGCCATGTACCTTGGGATCAAAGTTAACTTATTTCTTGGCAAGGTGTTAAAACAATCGATCATAGACACCCAAGCCTGGTCAATGCAACTTATGAGCATCCTTCCAGTAAAGCAAAATTAGGTAAGTACCAAAGCTACCAATAATCCTGCCAAACCATTAATGGACATTTGCCATTGCTGTTTCTATGTTTATCTATGAAATGTCACATGGACAGATATGTCCAATCAGACAGATTTGATGTCACATGGAAAAGTGATATCACTTTTTATTTCTTTGACAAGCATCATGCCAGAGATCTTTTGATACTTACTAGTAGAAATAGCTCCTTATTTAAAAGCTTAGGCTGTATGTCCTGATATTTATGCAAAAAAAATTGCAAACATATGAGAAATGCTGTGTAAATGGAAAACATGTGTGTCTCCTTTTTAAATTTATTGACTCAAAATGTTTCCTGTTCTTACATTAATGTATAGCCACGCAAATTAGCCCTACTTTAATGAGAGACAGGAGTAGCTGTGGGTTACTACACATAAAATACTGAGTCTCTACAGGTTATTCCAACAAATGGCAAACATCGAAGGGCAGAATGCTAAATGTTGATTTCATACTTACCAAAACTAAATCGACAGGAAGAACAACTTTAATTTTCCTTTTAAATTGTTCATTTAGCTCTTTAACCAGAACAAGCACCACAATACTCAGCAAGGATAAGAGCAAAGCTTCCAATCGGACAGACCTGATGTTTTCAAAGACAT